CAGCCAGATGGATGCATTTAGTACCATATTTTCCCCCCTAACCAGAAAATAAGTCCTAATGCATCTTTTGGAGCAAAAAATTAATAGAAGACCCGGTTTTATTTTCGGGGAAACACGGTACCTGATAAACCATGATTCAAATCAAGCCGGCTTTTCTCCAATCGAAGGCAAAAGAGCAGCTCTGCTAAAAACTATGAGTCTTTTAAGTTCCACTTTCCCTGATCCACAGGGATTCCTCCAAGCCAACATAGTTAGGCAGTCCTCGACTTACAACAGTTCGTTTAGTGACCGGAAAAAGAAAAGGACTTGTGACTGGTTTTCAAACTTATGACATTTGCAACATCCCCATGGTCATGTGATGAACATTCCGATGCTTGGCCAACTGACTCGTATTTATGACGGTTGGAAAATCCCAGGGTCACGTGATCGCTTTTTGAGACTTTCTGATGAGCAAAAAAATCAATGGGAAAGCCAGATTCACTTAACCACCGTGTTACTAACTTAACAACTGTCGTGATTCACTTAACCATAGTGGCAAGGTCGTAAAATGGGGCAAAACTCATTTAGCAAATGTCTCGCTTAACGACAGAATTTTTTGGGCTCAATGATGATCTTACGTGAAGGGCTGCTTATACTTATTTCTTAACATTTCTATTTATTTCTCCAGAGAGTATTAGTCTACCATATTCCCCCCAAAATAAGACCCTGTCTTATATATTTTTGAACCTGAAATAAGCGCTCGGCCTTATTTTCGGGGAGGTCTTATTATTTTGGGGCGCCTGGCTCCTCTTGCCATCTTACCTGATTTCCAGCTCTGTCTCCCTAACCCTAAGCCGAGGAAATGGCGGGGATTGGATGCGCGTGCGGTTAAATATTTTCAGGGAGGGCTTATTTTCGGAGAAACACGGTAAAGCATGCAGCCCTTCCTGGATCATTTTATTTTCCAACAATTTTGTGGGGCAGGAAATGCTAAGGAAAAGAAAGTTATTTGGGCCCTGGGTGAGCTATGAACCAAATCATAGTCACCTGCCTCAGTGCAGACTCTAGCCACTGTGCTACGCTGCCTTAAGCGCCCAAATCAGTTTACTTCCAAACGAGTAAAAATGAATTAAAACAGAATGCAATGCCCCCCTACAACGCAACCGTAATAATTTCAGAATTATTTAAGAATTAATTAAGCAGCCAACGATGCACAGACAAGGTATCAAATATTTTAAGTTCTGCGCTCAAATCCCACCCAAATGCAGGTAGTCCTCGATTTAGAACAGTTCATTTAGTGACCGATGTTACAACGGCACTTTAAAAAGGGACTTATGACCGTTTTTCACCCCTGGAGGCTGACGTCATGATCAGGTGATCAAAATGTGACACTTGGCCACTGACTCATATTTATGACAGTCGCAGTGTCCCAGGGTCAGGGGATCACGTTTTGCGACCTTCTGATTCACTTAACAACCATGTTACTAACCGCTGTGGCAAGAAAGGTTGTAAAATGGGGCCAAACTCACTTCGCAAATGTCTCGCTTAGCAACAGAAATTTCGGGGCTCCATTGAGGCCCTAACTCGAGGACTTCCTGTGCGACGACGTGTCCTTTGGAGAGAAACTGTCTGGGCACAAAGTTCAGTTTCGCCACCATCTGTGCGAAACCACCACTGATTAGGATGCTACATTGACTGGTTCAATTCCGTCACGAATTTTGATTATTATATTTAATATTGATTATCCCAAGCTAAGCCATACGTTGCCAAAGGAGGAGATGACAGCCTCAGGCAAGGATGGGAGTTCAATGCCAAAAAAAAAACCTGGTTATAAAACAGGAAGGTAACAACTTCATGTTTGAGCAAATTTGGGACTAGCGGTTAAGGCACAAAGGCTAGAAAGCAGGAGATGGTGAGTTCAAGTCCCGCCTTAGCCATGAGAGCTGGCTGGGTGACTTTGGGCCAATCAGCAGGAGACGGGGAGTTTTAGTCCCGCCTTAGGCATGAAAGAGAATTGGGTGACTTTGGGCCAATCACAGAAGACAGTCAATTCTAGTCCCGCCTTAAGCATGAAAGACAATTGGGTGACTTTGGGCCAATCACCAGGAGACGCGGAATTCTAGTCCCTTAGCCATGAACTTTGGCCCAATCACAGAAGACAGTGAATTCTAGTCCGGCCTTACGCATGAGACAAACAGGTGACTTTGGGCCAATCACCAGGAGACAGGGAGTTCTAGTCCCGCCTTAGGCATGAAAGACAATTGGGTGACATTGGGCCAATCACCAGGAGACGCGGAATTCTAGTCCCTTAGCCATGAACTTTGGCCCAATCACAGAAGACACTGAATTCTAGTCCCACCTTAAGCATGAGAGCTAGCTGGGTAACTTTGGCCCAATCACAGAAGACGGTGAATTCTAGTCCCGCCTTAAGCATGAGAGACAACTGGGTGACTTTGGGCCAATCACAGGAGACAAGTGAATTCTAGTCCCACCTTAAGCATGAAAGACAATTGGATGACTTTGGGCCAATCAACAGGAGACGCGGAATTCTACTCCCTTAGCCATGAACTTTGGCCCAATCACAGAAGACAGTGAATTCTAGTCCGGCCTTAAGCATGAGACAAACGGGTGACTTTGGGCCAATCAGCAGGAGACGGGGAATTCTAGTCCCGCCTTAGGCATGAAAGACAATTGGATGACTTTGGGCCAATCAACAGGAGACGGGGAGTTCTAATCCCGCCTTAGGCATGCATGAAAGCCAATTGGGTGATTTTGGGCCAGCCCCAATCTCTCAACCCAATCCACCTCACAGGGTTGTTGTTCTTAGGAAAACAGGAGGAAATTAGGTGCACTGAGTAGATTTGCCACCTTGAGTTTTTTGTAATATAAAAGTGACATACAAATAAATAAATAAATAAACTTTTGGGGATCCATCTTTCCCTTTTTTTTAACCCATCAAAAACAAGCATGAAAAAAACTCTCAAAACCACAGCATGGTCCTCAATTTATGACCTCAACTGATTCCCCAAATTTCCATCGCTGAGCAAGACGCTTGCTCCCTGAATTTTGCCCCATTTTATCACCTTTCTTGGCACCATATTTAAGCGACTCATTGCCATTAAGTTAGTCATGTGGTTGTTAAACGAATCTGGCTTTCCCCATTGATTTTGTTGGTCCGAAGGTTGTAAACCGAGGACTATCTTTACTCCACTTTCTGGCACTTCCTGCCATACAGTTCGTTGCATGATCCTGGACTACAATGCACCTTCTCCTGCACAGCCATGCCAGCTCAATCAAAAAAACTTCTGGTGGTAGGTTGTTCCACTGGTTAATTGTTCTGTCAGGAAGTTAATTCCTTAATTCATGAATGGGATATCAATCCATCAGAGCTGGCAGGGACCTTGGAGGTCTTCTAGTCCAGCCCCTTGCTCAAGCAGGAGACCCGATGCCATTTCAGACAAGCGACTGTCCTGTGTCTTCTTAAAAATCTCCAATGATGGAGGACTCACAACTTCTAGTGGCAAGCAGTTCCACAGCCCACAACGGTTTCCATACCCAAAATCCTTCAAGGCGGGATCTTTATTCTAAAGCTGCATCTCCGCCGCCCTCATCCTAAAAAAAAACCCTATACAGGTCATCCTCAACGCACGACCACAAATTTACGTTGCTAAGTGAGAAATTTGCTCGGTGCGTTTTGCTCCGTTTTACGACTTTCCTGGCCACGTCCGTTAAGTGAATCGCTCCAGTTCTTAAATCGGCAATACGGTTCTTAAACGTCAACGGTTCCCCGTTGACTTTGCTTTACCGAAAGTCGCAAAAGGGGATTCACGCAAACACTGCAACCGTCATAACTGCGAGTCGAGCCTCCGAATGTAAATCCCGCGACCGTGCCCTCTCCCCCCCCCAGGATGCAGCAAATGAGGGGAAAAAAACGGTCCTTTTTTTTTAGCGCCGTCGTAACTTCGGTCACTAAGCGAACTGTCGTAAGCGCGAGGGCCTACCTGTCCCAAGTAAAAACTTTTCAATCTGAATTAAAGCAGGGTTAAGAGCAGAGTCCTGCGACCGTGGGCGAGGGGGATGCTGCAACGGTCATTAAGCGTGAAAAACGGTCCCCCTTTTTTTTTCAGCGCCGTCGTAACTTCGGTCGCTAAGCGAACTGTCGTAAACCCAAGGAGCCTACCTGTCCCAGGTGAAAACTATATTTTTTAATCTGATCGACTTGACCTTAGTCAATCCAAAAGGTTCGGTGGTTCGAACCCCCTCGTAGAGGTCTCCTGCGGGATCCGCAGGGGGTTGGGCTAGATGACCTCTTAAGGTCCCTTCCGACGCCACTTACTCTTTTACCTAAATCTGAATTAAACCAAGATAACCAAGCTGGCTCCATCTCCATTGCAGGGACAACATCTGTTAGGAAGCTTATGGGGCTGGAGATTTGGGGGGGGGGGTTTTAGGGGGAGGAATGGAGACCCCTCCCTCCCCACCCCCCAAAAAGTGAGCCTGAGAGGAAAGGCGGGTAGTCGGCGGGGGGGGGGGGGGGGGGGGGGAGAGGATCAGGCCTCCATGGGGCAGCCCCATAGCCTTCCACCAATGGTGGGGCCAGGAAGTGCCCATTTCCCCCCCCCCCCCCATCAGCAACAGGCTGCTAAACTTCTGCAAGGGTTTCCCCCAACTCACTTAAAAGGGGATCCCCCCTCCCTTCTTTCTATGGGGCAACCCCAAAGTGACGTCACAAGGCTTCTCCCGCCAATAGGACTCTCTCCCGCCCGCCCGCCCCCCCCAACAATCATTTCTCCCAATAGTCGACTGAGACCTATTCTTCCCCCCTCCGCTTGGTGGCAGTAGTGGGCTATTGCCCCGCGCATGCGTAGCAAGCGGCGGCGGCACCCCAGGGCCAGGGGCCCGCGTTGCTGAGAAGCCCGCAAAAAGAAAAAAACCTGCCCGTCTTGGTTTACGCATGCGCGAAGCCACCCGGGCCCCCGGGCCCCCTTCCCCCCGCCGGGCCCTTTTTTTTTTTTCCTCACCCCACGGAGCCGCTTAATCAAGGCGCTCTTCTGCCCGCTCTTAGGCAGGCCCCGCTGCTCCAAAGCCGCCTTCAGGTCGGCGACCCTCAACGCCTGAAGCGGCCTCCCGTCCAGAGTAACCTCCTCCCCGTCCGCCATCTTGTGTGGCGCTGCTGCCTGCCCTCCCCGGGAGCTTCGGGGGCGTTCGGGAACTTCCGGAGAAGGCCTCGGCGTTCGGAGGCGACCTCCGACCCCGTCTCGTGGACGTCCGGCCGCTCTTCGTCAAGCGCCGTCCGTTTTCGGAGACTTCCGTTCGGCGTTCGGCGAGGAGGAGGGAGAGGCGGAGGGGCCGCTCTGGCTCGGGCGACTCTTTCCGGGTTACGTCGGGCATTTCCGGGTCTTTCGAGGATGGCTTCCCAACCTGGAAGTGAGTTCTGAGAAGGACTCGGGAACTTCCGGAGGTCTTCGACATCGGAAGGTGCTGGGGGGGGCGGTCACGGAAAACTTTCGGCAACTTCCGCCCAGCGCCAAAGTAGAAAGCGTCTTCGTTCGGAAAAAAAAAAGCCTGGCGGCCCGAGTTCGCCTTCGGGTATTTCCGGATGAGTTCGGCGACTTCCGGATGAGTTCGGCTCCGCCTGCCGAAGGCGGAGCGGAACGAAAACGCTAAGAGTTTCCTTCGCAGCAATGGAACAAACCCTGATCTGAGCCAAAGCAGGTGAGGAAGAAGGCGATGCTGGCTTGTCTCCCAAGGAACCGGCCCTGCAAGGGATTGCAAAAAGCCGCGTCTTGCCTTGCTAGGTTTGGTGCGATCGTTGGCACGGTGGACTACAAATCCCATCGTGCTGAATTAAACCCCCTTTGCACGTGTCTCGGGGGTGGGGGAGCTGCATTCCGACAGTGGGCGAGATCCAGGACCGGGGAGTGGCCGTCTTAACCTTCCCCGGGGTTCTGCTTTGCACGCAGCCAGGTGCAAACCGGGGTTTGTTGCAGGGCTGGCCAACATTTGTGGCTTTTGCACGAACCGGAGTTCTGTTCAAACCTGGCTTGTTGTGGGGGGGGGGGGCGTCTTTATACTCACGCATCTGCTCCCTTGAAAAGAAGCCTCTTCCCCCCAGCCCACCCCGGTTGCTTTTCACACGGCTTTCCAACCTGGGCAACTTTTAAGATGGGTTCAAGTCCCAGCATTAAAGCCAAGGAAGAAGGGAGGAAGGAAGGAAGGAGAGGGAGAAAGTTATTAAAGAAGGAGAGGGAGGGGGGAAGTATGGTAGGAGAGGGAGGGAGGAAAGGAAGGAAGAACGGAGAGGGAGGGAGGAATGAGAGGAAGGAAGGAAGTACGGAAGGGGAGGGAGGAAGGAAGGAGAGGAAGGAAGGAGAGGGAGGAAGTAAGGAAGTACAGAAGGAGAGGGAGGGAGGAAAGGGAGAAAGAAAGGAAGGAAGAACAGAAAGGGAGGGAGGAGAGGGAGGAAGGAAGGAAGTACAGAAGGAGAGGGAGGGAGGAAAGGGAGAAAGAAAGGAAGGAAGAACGGAGAGGGAGGAAGAAAGGAAGGAGAGGGAGGAAGGAAGTATGGAAGGAAGGAAGGAAGAACGGAAAGGGAGGGAGGGAGGAAAGGGAGGAAGGAAGGAGGGAGGGAGGAAGGAAGTACAGAAGGAGAGGGAGGGAGGAAAGGGAGAAAGAAAGGAAGGAAGGAGAGGAAGGAAGGAAGGAGGGAGGAAGGAAGTATGGAAGGAGAGGGAGGAAGGAAGGAAGAAAGAACGGAAAGGGAGGAAGGGAGGGAGGAAAGGAAGGAAGGAAGTACAGAAGGAGAGGGAGGGAGGAAAGGGAGGAAGGAAGGAAGTACGGAAGGGGAGGGAGGGAGGAAAGGAAGGAAGGAGGGAGGAAGTAAGGAAGTACAGAAGGAGAGGAAGGAAGGAAGAACGGAAAGGGAGGGGAGGGAGGGAGGAAAGGAAGGAAGGAAGTACAGAAGAAGGAGAGGGAGGGAGGAAAGGGAGGAAGGAAGTACGGAAGGGGAGGGAGGGAGGAAGGAGAGGGAGGAAGGAAGGAAGTACAGAAGGAGAGGGAGGAAGGAAGGAAGAACAGAGAGGGAGGAAGGAAGGAGAGGGAGGAAGAAAGTATGAAAGAAGAGGGAGGGAGGAAGGAAGAACAGGAAGGGAGGGGAGGGAGGGAAGGAAGGAAGGAAGTACAGAAGGAGAGGGAGGGAGGAAGGAATGAAGGAAGGAGAGGGAGGACGGGAGGGAAGGGAGGAGGAGACAGAAAGAGAGGGAGGAAGGAGACTTTCTCCTTCCTTGCTGCTTTCCTCCATTCCTCCCTCCCTTCCTCTAACCCGTCTTCATCCTTCCTTTCTTTCCTATCTTTTTTCCTTCCCTCCCTCTTCCCTTTCTTGCCTTCATCCTTCTCTCCTCCCCTCCCTTTCCTGCTTTCTTTTCCTTTCTCCTTTCCTTTCTTCCCCTTCCCCTTCTCTCTTTCCTCCCTTTCTTCCCTCCCTCCCTTTCTTGTCTTCTCTTCCTCCCCTCCCTCCATCATTCCCTTTCTTCTTCTTCCCTACCTCCTTCCTTCCTTCCCTTCCCTTCCCTTCCCTTCAGCTGAAATCTGCTTATTTTGCAAAGTTTAAAAAGCTCTTTATGCAAGTTTTTCCTCCTCCCCACGGAAGAGAATTTTACTTTCGTGGCTGCCCTGCACTACCACTTAACAAGTTTCCTTCCTTCCTTCCCCCTAGACATATTTTCTATCCCTTTGGATCTGTAAATTGAGATTATGCAATATTTATTATTATAGCATGCGGGTTTTTGTAGAGCAAGAAGGAAGAAATTGTTAGAGTTCAGCAATTTGGCTGTGGAAAATAAAGAGTTGAGACTGCAGGAAATGGTGTCGGTGGCCCTTTAATACAATTTGCATGTTATTTTTAAACCTGTTTTGGTTATTTAGCTATGCTAATTGTATCCTTAGGATGCTCTTTTAGTGCTTTTCATTGTAAATGCAGAGTTGGTTTGGTCTCCCAAGCTCTGGATGGTGCGTTTCCTGGATGAAAACAATCTTTGGGGAATGCGGTGTGCCGATAAACAGATTTATTTTCAGTACAGATGTTGACTGTAGATATTTTTAGTTATGACTCTGGTCCTATCCAGAGGATAGGATTTTGCCTAAATTTTTGCTCCCTAATCTATAGTTTTTCTGGTATCTGCCCCCTTCAGTGTTTCCACATTCTCTTGGCTCTCCAAATTTGTTTTCCAAAGTTCTTTAATATATATATATATATGATTTGGGTGCTGCCCATTTGGAAGGATGAATGAAGAAGGGACGAAAAGAAAGCCTGAAGGGAAGGAGAGGGGGAAAAGGGAGGGAAGGAGAGAAGGAAGGAAAGGGGAGGAAGAAAGGAAGGGGAGGGAGGGAGAGAAGAAGGGGAGAGAAGGAAGGAAAGGGAAGGAGAGAAGGAAAGGGAGAGAGGAAAAAAGGAAGGAAAGGGAAGGAGAGAAGGAAGGAAAGAGGGAAGAAATGAAGGAGAGGGAAGGAGAGAAGAAAGCGGAGGGATGGATGGAAGGAGAGAAGGAAGCGGAGGGAGGGACGGAAGGAGGGAAAGAAGGGGAGGGAAGGAGAGAAGGAGGGAAAGCAGGGATGAAATGCTCCCGGTTTGGACTGGCTCGGGCGAGTAGGTAGCGATGGAGGTGGGCAGTTCGGACAACCGGTAGCAAAAATCCCTCCCCCTCCCCCCCTCAGCTTGCTTACCTTAGCTGCTGGTCGCAACTCCTTGCTGTAATCCCTGCAATCCATTGCATCAGCAAGCAACTGAATCTCCCTGCCTGCAATCAAGCAGGCAGGGAGTTGTGGACTTCAACTCCCAGAATTCCTCAGCCAGCAAAGCTGGCTGAGGAATTCTGGGAGTTGAAGTCTACAAGTCTTAAAAGTTGCCAAGGTTGGAGACCCCTGTTCTATTGGGTAAGTTTTTTTCCCCTTTGGGAGCTTTAAAAAAAATAGTTAATTGGGTTTTTTTTTTAGTTGTTCTTTTTTTAGACCTAGCCATTTAAAGTTTAGGAAGTTTCAAATTTAGCTGCTTTTATATAAAAATTAAAATAAAATAAAATAAAATAAAAGAGAAGGGCGGTATACAAATTAAATAAATAAATAAATAAATAAATAAAATAATATTTGTGCAGCTTTCTGAGATTTAGTGTGTTTCTGTAGTGTTTCACTCTAACTACACAAACACACAAAATCTCACAAAGCTGTATGTGGAATTTTGTGTGTGTAAAGTGTGGAAGTTGGTTGTTTGGGCTTTTTGTGGCTCTGTGAGGTTCCTGCTTGTTGCAGGGGCCATTTTGGGTCTAGCACAGCTGCTTTTACATTGTGGGTGAGCCAGTTGTGTTGTGTTGTGTTTTGTAGGTTAAAAAAGGGCAAAGAAGTGACATTGACTTGGCCATGCCCACCTGACCACCAAGCCGCACCCTCCCAGTCACCTTACCACCAAGCCCCGCCCACTAATTAAACCACACCCACAGAACCGGTAGCAAAAAATTTTAGATTTCACCCCTGCAGGGAAAGGGAAGGAGGGAGGGGAGAAGGGGAGAGAAAGAAAGGGAAGGAGAGAAGGAAGCGGAGGGACGGACGGAAGGAAAGAAGGAAGCGGAGGGAGGGAGGAAAGGAGAGAAGGAGAGGGAAGGGGAGAAGGAAGGAAACGGAAGGAAGGGGAGGAGAGAAGGAAAAGGGAGGGAGGGAAGGAGAGAGAAGAGTGGGGGAGAAGGAAGGAAAAGGGAGGAGGGAGGGAGGAAGAAAGGAAGGAGAGTTGGAAGGAAGGGAGGGAAATGTCATAAGTCGAGGACTGGCTGAAATTCCCTCCCGCCCACTCTTGTTTCTCTGCCGTCCCCTGCAGGATGTCGGAGCCGCTACCCTTGTCCTACGTGACGGCCCAAGAGATGCGCTGCCTCCTACACTGGCTGTCCGGCTGGACTCTGGCCCAACGGGAACGCTTCCTCCGAGACCTGGTGGACAAGGCCGTCCCTTGGAAGCTATGTCCCCTGCTGGAGAGCCTGTCCGCGCTCCGGGTAGACTCTGGGAAGCCCCCGTCCATCTACGAGTGCCAGATGCGCCTCTGGGACCAGTGGTTCCGCAGCTGGTCGGAAGCCGAGCGTAACGAGTTTGTCCGGCAAATGGAAGAGGAGATGCCGGATTTGGCCGGACGGTTTTACCGAGAAGTGGCTGCCACTGCTGGACAAGCCTGAGGCGGCCCATGGCTCTCTCCGTTCCGTCTCATTTTTATTTTTTATTTTGTACCGATTTCTCTGGACGTCTTCAGACGGCTGCTGTGAAAACTTGGCCAAAGGGCTTTCCCGTGTTCTACCCTGCATAATATGAAAATAAAATATTGTTGTTTCTTCTCCTTCTTGTGGCATATCCGTCATTGGACGTTGGCGATCATGTTGGCAATCCTATTTTTGTCAACATCCGCATGAAAAAAATATTGTTTAGCGAATAGAATTCTTGATCTATAGAATCGAGTTCTTGATGGGCCAAGTGTGATCGGACACACAAGGAATTTAGTCTTCGGTGCATAAGCTCTCAGGGTACATAAAAGAAAAAGACATTCATCAAAAATCATAAGATGCAACGCTTTGTGATAGTCATAGTCAATTTATTTAATTATTTTAATTTTTAATCGTTGTGTCTTGTGTTTTTAAATTGGCTATACACCGCCCTGAGTCCTTCGGGAGAAGGGTGGTATAGAAATAAAAATATTTATTTATTTATTTATTTATTTATAGGATACTAAATAGGCAATCAACATAAATCGTGCTAGGAAACTAAAACAGTATAATATTGTACAGATACAAGCAACAAGGTTGTAGTCATTAGGGGGAAGAGAGAGGTAATAGGAAGGATGAGAAGAATAGTAATACAATCTTAGTAAATTGTTTGACAGTGTTGTGGGAATGATATTTTCCTTCCTTCCTTCCTTCCTTCCTTCTCTAATTCCTTTCTCCCTTCTTCCCTCCGTTTCTTCCTTTCCTTCCTGTTTCCTTTCTTCCCTCTGTTCTTCCTTCCTGTTTCCTTCCTTCCTTCCCTGCCTCCCAATCTCTTCATCTGTTCCTTTTCCTCTCTTCCCCTCTCCTTCCTTTCTTCCATCCCTTTCTTTCCTTGCTTCCCTCTCTATCTCTCTACCATCATCTATTTATTTCTCTCCTCCTTGCTTCCTTCCCTATCTCTCTACCTTCATCTGTTTATTTCTCCCCTCCTTTCTTTCCTCCCTCTGCCCCTCTTTCCTTCCTTCATCCATCCTTGTTCTTTCCTTCCTTCCTTCTCTACCTCCCTCTGCCCCTTTCTTTACTTCCTTCTTCCTTCCATTTCTTTCCTTCCTTCCTTCCCTCACTCCTTCCTTCTTCCTTTTCTCCCATCCATCCTTTCTTAGCTCCGTTCCTTCTTCTTTCCTTCCTTTACCCCTCCCTGTTTCCTTCCTTATTTCCTCCATTTCTTTCCTTTTCCTCTTTCCCTGCTTTCTTCCTTACTTCCCTCCTTACTCCTTCCTTGTTTCCTCCTTTCCTTACCTTCCCCTCTCTTTTCTTCCTATATCCCTTCCTGTTTCCTTCTTCCTTCCCTCTTGCCTTCCTTCCCTTTTTTCTTCCTTCCCTCCTTCATCCCCTCTACCCCTCCCTTCCTCTTCCTTTTTTCTTATGATTTTATAAAGAAGATGCATCAGCACACACAAAAAATGTGAAAGCACACAGTAAAGAACAAATTAGCAAGGGATTTAAAATGCCATGGAAATTATATTTTTCCAGTGTATCATTAGTCAATTACGAATCGGATATATTATTTTAGAGCCTGGAAATTGCTGTTAAGTTCTTAAAATAAGCATGAATACCCAGATCTCGATCAGCCAAGTATAAATCACTAAGTGAGATTTATCAGCACAGAAAAAATTAATCTTTATTACTGAGACTCTTCTGGTTTCAGCATTCCGTGAAATTAAATAAAAAATCCCGTTCTCTGTTCATAGAGCAAACCATTCATTGCTGTTCTAGAACCCTCTTAGAATGTTTAATACAGATAATCCTCGACTTATGACCGCAATTAACCTGAAAATTATGTTGTTAAGCGAGACAATGGAATTCTGCCTCATTTTGTGACTTTGCTTGCCGCAGTTATTAAGTGGCTCACTGCAGACGTTAAGCGAGTCACACGGTTGTTCAGTGAATCCGGCTTTCCCCTCGTTGACTTGTCCGAAGGTCGCAAAAGGGGATCACGTGACACGCACACACACCCCGGATACTACCACGGTCATAAATATGAATCGGTTGCCAAGTATCTGAATTTCAATCACGTAACCATGGGGATGCTTGCATTGGTCATAAGTGTGAAAAAATAGAAGTCACGTTTTTCAGCCCCGTTGTAACTTCAGTCACTGAATGAACTGTTTGTAAGTCGACGACTAGCGCATTTTTAGGTTCAACTGGGATATCCTCGGCCCACCAAAATCAACATTTAAAAATCAAGTTGGGGGCACCACCTCCTATTAGCCCCTTTTCGTGGGCAAGCGATAGAGACGCGCCATGTTTTTAAATGGCCTAGAAAGGCCACCAAACTTTGCAATAGAGCCTAAAATTTGTTGGGTGTGTCCCGAAGGCGCGTGTAATCTGCGTATGCGCCCCCCTGCGTGTGCGCCCCCCCCGTGCTCCCCCATGCCCCATTTTGGGCCTAGCAGCCTCCTGGGAGCAAAAACGGGCTGCGGGGGGGCGCCCCCCGATGCCCCGTTTTGGGCCTAATATGTCTCCTGGGAGGAAAAATGGGGCTCATGGGGGCTGTGCCACACCCCTGTGCCCCGATTTGGGCCTAGTAGGCCTCCATGCAGCCTCCTGGGAGCAAAAACAGGCCACGTGGGGGCTGCAATGCCCCACCGTGCCCCGTTTTGGGCCTAGTCGGCCTCCATGCAGCCTCCCTGGGAGCAAAAACAGGCCACGTGGGGGCTGCAATGCCCCACCGTGCCCCCGTTTTGGGCCTAGTCGGCCTCCCATGCAGCCTTCTAGGAGCAAAAACAGGCCACATGGTGGGCTGCAATGCCCCACCGTGCCCTGTTTTGGGCCTAGTCGGCCTCCATGCAGCCTCCTGGGAGCAAAAACAGGTCACGTGGGGGCTGCAATGCCCCACCGTGCCCAGTTTTGGGCCTAGTAGGCCTCCCTGCAGCCTTATAGGAGCAAAAACAGGGCACATGGGGGTTGCGCCACACCCCCGTGCCCCGTTTTGGGCCGAATAGGCCTCCCTGCAACCTCCTGGGAGGAAAAACGGGCAATGGGGGGACTGTGCCCCCCCTGGGTGCCCCATTTTGGACCTAGTAGGCCTCCCTGCAGCCTCCTGGGAGCAAAAACGGGCCTCGTGGGGGCTGCGCCACTCCCCAATGCCCCGTTTTGGGCGTAGTATGCCTCCCTGGAATCTCCTGGGAGCAAAAACATGCCATGGAGGGGCTGTGTCGCCCCCTACTTCTCATGCCCCATTTTGGGCCTAGTAGGCCTCCCTGCAGCCTCCTGGGAGCAAAAACGGGCTGCAGGGGGGGGGGCGCCTCCCTGCACTGATAACCCATAATGCAATGCACGTGTGACCCCCATGCGCGCCCTGCCCACCCGCTTCTCTCGCATGCACTTTGCATGCACGGCAGAGACCCGAAAATCAGCTGGCCGGCAGGAGGCATGCATGCACGCCCGGTGCAGCTGAGCTGGGGCGATGGCTTGCGTACCCGCAGATGTAAAGATCCATCGTTTTGCCCTTTGCAAAAATGTCCCTAAGAAACCAGAAGCCAAAAAGTTTTAGTTTTAACCGTCTCTTTTATCTTCCTAGACTTAGATCTTTGGACGGTGATGGAAATCCGTAAACTGATAATCAGCAAAGTCTTTTTGGAGGGTTTTTTTTTTTTAATAGAAAAAGATTTCAGCTTTGCGTTGCATTTTCCTGATCCTGGATTAGGAGGTCGGGCAGTGTTTTTCCAACTTTAAAACTTTAAAAGCATGCTGGCTGGGGAAATTCTTTTTTTTATATATATATATATAATTTTTTTAATTTTCAAAAACACAACCAAAACAAAACATAAAAACGTTATTATCCGATACAATTATAGACAGTGTATCAGTCGGTGGCATTTTTGTGCTCCTCCTCCTCTTCAATTTATCACTAGACATGCTAGCTTACTTCCAAAAATTTCAACATCCATTTATATCATAATTATTTCCAATTCTTATTCTCTATCCATTGCTAAAATAAATCCCATATCAAATATGGGAGTATAAGAGCCTTGGTAGTACAGTGGTCTAAGGCACCCTGTTATTAAGCTGGTTATTAAGACCAGCTGCCTGCAATTACTGCAGGTTCGAATCTCGCCAAGGCTCAAGGTTGACTCAGCCTTCCATCCTTTCTAAGGTAGGTAAATTGAGGACCCAGTTGTGGGGCCAATAAGCTGACTTTGTATAAAATATACAAAAGGATGAAGGCTATTGCTGAGCACATTGTAAGCCGCCCTGAGTCTCCGGAGAAGGGCGACATATAAATCAAATTTAAAAAAATAAATAAAAATAATAATAATAATATTGTCTATCGTCCTGTTCTCTCATTTCAAATGTCAATTTACTCATTTCAGTACATTCCATCATTTTCTTAATAATTTTTTCATCGTTAGGTAACTTTTCTCCTTCCCAGTTTTTAGCAAATACAATTCTAGCTGCTGTCAAGAGATTCGCAATTAAATATTGCAGTTCTTTATTATATGTCTCCGGTATAATCCCTAATAAAAATATCTCTGGCTTAAAGTCAATATGTCTCTTTATCATTTTTTCCAACCACGTGTTCTGTCCCCGTCTCACACACGCACACAAACAGACAGCCAGGGATTAAATAAACTGGCAGACAACCAATTATTCCGGTAAGAGGCTTGGCAGCAACCCAGTAGCTCCTTGCCAAGAACTTTACTCATAAACAAAATACACACAGTTCAAGAATTGTCCAGTTCGTAAAAATAAATCCAAGGCAGATAATGTTGTTTCCAAAGATGCAATGTGACTCGATAGTAGTTAGTTTTGTCCATCACAAAGTCTGAATGGCCACCTCACCCCCTTTTATACCCTGTGGGGTGTGGTCCAGTGACTCAGCTTAATCTCTGGCATGCCTCTTCTTCTGTTGAGCGCGCTTATCGCTGCGACGCTGCCGAGGATCCAGCCAAGACTCATCTCCCTCATTACTGTCCACCTGTGGCTGCGTAGACGTGCTTGGCCCCGGGCCTATCTCTTGCCCTTCGGTGGGCACCAAAGGCATTGCCAGAGAGGAGGGTCCTGGAGAGGGAGGCCTTGCCAACTCCTCTCCTCCACTCTTGGAGTCCTCTCCTGCCAATGACACAGGCTCA